AGAAAAATGTTAAGACTCAGTATCAATAAATGATTTCAAAGAACATCAAAGAATCAAATGGTTTGGTCGCCTGGTAAAAACGGATCAAAATCAGCTTGCATACTACATGAGAACAGCAGGTTACAAATCAAGAAGCTGACATAGAAAGAGGGAGGTGATGAAGGAAGTAAAAGAGACACTACAAAAACGCAATATGACATTAACACAAGCTACGCAGCTACCAAAGGATAGTAAGATGAGTTGAGTTGATTCAAGAACCGACGTCATAGCACTCGGGGCATTCTCATGAGCGCTCCTTCCCCATCTTCAGCAGCCAGTGAAGAGTTTCGATACTAATGGTGCAAAGGATAGGAAACTACATGTAAACCTCTCAGTGATGCTTTATGGCAGGGCTATTCAACTAACTTGATTCAGGGGCCACAACTGTAAAAATGGGGATCGTCAGAGATGAGAGGCCAAACCTGAGCATAGAAAGATCATTATCCAACACCACTGGCTGTGATCCGTGGGCCACTTCCTAGGCCTCCCAGTGCCAGATTTGTCCTGTAGGCCATCAGTTGAATAGTGCTGCTTTACAGCATAGGCAATAGAATAAGAGAAAGAAGAAGTGATTTGCGGTCACAAAACAGACTGCTGTGGAAAGACATGATGACCAGTGCCAGATGGAGTAGGCTGTAAGAGAACCAAAGAAAAACCTCACAGTATGTTTTACAAGATTCTACCATTTTTGCCAGTTAGAGAGAGAGGATGACAGAGGACAGAGAAGTAAAAACTGAATTCACAAGGGAGATGAATGATCGTAGACCACGAGGCAGACCAAGAAGAATATGGAGAGATAATGTCCAGATAGACCTGCAAACACTTGGTGTCACCAACTGGAAAGAGAAGGCCAACCAAAGAGATGAATAGAGGCAGGGGATATCTGCAGCAATGAACCTCAAGGGCTCAGAATGCTGAACAAGAAGAAGAAGAAGAGAGAGAGAAGACGTGTAGCAACTGTGACAGGAAAAACAAAAAGAGACAGAGCTATCAGCAAAGAACTAAGAACAATGGTTAGCAAGCATCAATAAATGATCTAATAGAACATCATACCCATGTGGGTTCTGGGGCCCTATTATAGGAAAAACAAGAATAGACCCACTGCCTACCCAAAAGCATGTCGTAAGAGTAGACTAATTGGGAGCTCCCTTCGAAGTCAGAGTGCATCTGCCTGAGAGACAAGAAACCAGCAGTCTGCATACAAATGAGTCAGATCTGTAAAACGGATGCACACGCAACACTCTGGTTCTGGAACAGGACTGCAGTCCAGAAGTGGACGAGCAACCAGAGTTTTCCGCTGGAGTTTACAGCTGGTGAACGCGAAGAAGAAGAAGAATAGAACATCAAAGAAACAAAAGGTTTGTTCATCTGGTTACAATGGAACAAAATCAGATTGCAGCTACAGCATAGTACATGAGAACAGCAGGCTACAGGGCAAGTGGCTGACCAAGAAAGAAATGGGTGGAGGGAGTAAATTTAGACACTACAAAAACACAATTTGACATTAACACAAGCTATGGAACTAGCAAAGGACAGGAAACTGCATCTAACTTCTCTATTTCCGTGTGGGTTCTGGGGCAGAAAAAGAACAGACCCGCTGCCCTCCTAATAAGTATGTCGTACAATATAGGGATGTTTCCTTTGAAGTCTGAGAGACAAGGAACCAACAATCTGTATACAAATAAGTCAGATCTGTGAAATGGATGCGCACATAAAACTCAAGTTCTATAATAAGACCACAGTCCAGAAGAGAACAAATGACCAGAACTGTCCGCTGGAGTTTACAACCAATGAACACCAAGAAGAAGAAGAACTCAACTACATAAGCAGCAGGTCAAAAGAAGAAGAGACAATCTGGCACACGTGTATCCCATGAAAACAAACTATGAATGACTGGGGAAGACCCCAAGCACACTGTTCTGTTTATGACTCACACTGGACTAAGTAGACATCAAATATTATTTACCAAAGCAGCAGGAACATAAAAATGGAGAAGAGAGAGAAAACCTGGCCAACATGTATCCTATCAAAAACAAATTAAGAAAATCTGGCCCCTACGTATCCTAACAAAACAAACTATGAATGACTGGGGAAGACCCCAACCACACTGTTCTGTTTGTGACTCACACGGGACTAGATACATATCAAATATTATTCACTAAAGCAGCAGGAACATAAAAAGGAGAAGAAGCTCACAAAATGAGACCCATCTGGCTTAGTTTTCTCTGAAGCTTCACTGGTCTATCTAGCCACCAGGACATGGGGAAAAGACTTCATTTGCTGCTCTTTCTTTTTCATGCAAATGTTTGAAACTAATTCTGAGGGCAGCTGAACCAGAGAGTCACACAGCTGAGAAAAGAACAAATCTGCCGCAAGTTGAGGACTAAACCCCACTCATCTGTGCTGGTATGTCACAGCACTAACCACTCACTACTTTACTACAAATTCACATTAAATAAGGCACATAAAATCACTAATTTAAAATAATTATAAAAACGCTGCACATAATCATGTTCAAAATAATGCTTGATAATAATGCACTGATAATATCTGATTAAGCCAACCGTATTATAACATGTAAACACACAATCTGTTTAGATTAAACAAGATTCAAAAGCAATATTTAAAAAAATATATAAAAATTACCAAGAAAAATACACGTGACCAAAAGTGAAATACACAAAATATCAACATTACATAAAATGTCAAAACATCCATTTCCTAACCTGAGATACTTCATTGCCAGCAGCCAAATACAAGTGGTTAATTAAAACTCATTTTTCTAAAACAGTGATTCTCAACCTGTGGGTCGTGACCCTTTCACAGTGGTCACCTAAGACCATCAGGAAAAAACCTACCAATGTGTTTTTTTAAAGTAAGTTATTATTTTGAATGCAACGAAAAACACTGATGGAAAACATAAATATGCATAAGCAGTATGTTTATGTGGTTCATTAGAAAGCAGTGTGCTATTGTTTCACTGTCGAAATCTTGTTTCATGTTGCGCGTGAGTGACTTATTATGAGTGCAAAATACTCAAGCAAGCTGCAAGGTTCCTGCTGTGATTTGTTTGTTTTTATGCATGATAATGCTCAACCTCAGTTTGCAGATGGAATGGTTCAATTGTTGCAAAAATTTCACCAGGAAATTGTTGACCGCCCGTCCTACAGCCCAAATCTGGCTCCAAGTGATTACCACCTTTTCAAAAGAAGAGGCTGGCATCCCAGCGGTTTCAAACTGCAGACAGGTATTAATGAATGGTTCAAGACACTAGCGGCAGACTTCTATGACATTGGAATTAAGAAGCTGGTGCCGCAATACCAAAAATGTGTTGGAAGTCAATTGTGACTATGTTGAGAAATAATGTTTTATGTAAATGTGTGGTTCACTTTTAGCTGCAGTAAATCATTTTTTATATATGATGGTTTTTATTTTTATTTTTTATTGTATACTGGGACTTACTTGAAAAACATGTCTCGTATTTACTGAAGTTATCTAGTGGTAACGAAAGTAATTTTATGGTTAGGGGTCACCACAACATGAGGAACTGTATTAAAGAGCCACGGCATTAGGAAGGTTGAGTACCACTGTTTTAAAACATGATGATGATGTGTTGTTATTGCGTCACAAATGATGAAGACTACATTCAACCATACAAATTAGTCCATGATTATGAATACACAGACGACTGAGGAGTCCAATCTGAGCCCCAAAGGTTTTTGAACAACATGGACAACAGATAGAAGCAATAGTTGAGGTTGGATTTTATACACGGTTATTTCTCGTCTGCCTTAATTTCTCTGCCAGTGCAATCTCTGCTGCCTTGTAGGCTGAAGAGATAAATGTAGGCCATTAATTATGGTTTACAAGGTAACCGGGTGTACAGGCTTACCTCAAGATTTAGAGCTACAAATTTAGTTAGGTTTATACCTGACTAGTACACCTTATATCCACTTAAGGATCACAAATTGTTCCTTCCTATGATGCTAAACAGCAGAAGTGGTTTATGACGATGATTATGCCTCCTTGATACCGCCTTAACATCATCAATCATTCTTATCTGTTGGGTCATCTACTTTACTCCATGCAGGACCAGACCAACCTAAATGGGACTGTTTTATCTGTGTCTGTGAGAGATGGAACTTGGGGCCTGTTATTCTTACATGTTATAGCTAATACCAATCAGTAAATTGTAGAGTATTAAACACTGGGCTATATTAAAACGAGTTATAGTTTTTGTTTATACAAATTTGAGATAAACATTTTATTTACAGTAACTCGGAAGCTTTCTGATGACTCAGCATACAAAAACTGGGATCAAAATTAAAGAAAATTCACAGTTACTGAGTTAAATTATAGGTCCCGTTAGATAGATCTTAGAAGATTACCCAGGGGTTAAAAAAAATGAACAATTTATAAACAATGTATAAGGTGGTTAAACAAGATAATGGCTTATGGCTGAGAAAAATATACACACTTACTCGTCTTGCAGGTCAGAAACTCTAACCCCCTTCACTCTTTGGAAGTGCACATATTTTCCCTAGTGGTCCTGCCATTAATAGAAGCATTTCAGGAAGGCATTTCTCAAAATCGATTACCACAGGGTGATCACATTTTCCATAGACCTTCAATAACTCACATAGGTCCCTATTTTCCCCAGCCACAGGTCAATTAATTTTTGTAAGAAACCTCACATAAAATGCTGAATGGGCAAAATCAAAAGGCTAAACTAATTTTTTTTTAAAAATAATTTTTAAAAAAGAAAAAAAACATGAGTTTTTAATAAAAAGCTTTTATAGAGATCAATAATTGCAGACTGAATTTACTACCCTGTGTTGAAAAATCTGTTAACAAAAATTTAACAGAACAATCCCCAAATGCATGCCAGTCAACACTCAGGATACATGTAATACAAAAACTGCCCATACACAATTTCCAGTTGTACTCTAATGATGCATCTGTCAATCGCCCACTTCTCGATAGTTTGGTTCCACATGTATGAAATAGTTATCAAAATAGTCAAAAATAGTTTCAAAAGTTGGCCTATCTTCTGGTTTCTGGTTCCAACATTTTAACATCATGCTGTAGTAAGAATCTGACACTTCTATGGGTCCCCCTGTCGGCCTGTTCATTCTTCCTCCTCTCTCCACCATTTTCAGGACATCCTGTCCAGTTTGGCCTGTATAAAAATGAGGATACAAAAGATTACAATAAGTAATCAACCAAACTAGACGAGACAGGGTTAGGAAAGTTGGAATAAGATCATGTCTGGATTATATTGACAGGCAAAGAATGAAATAATCTGAAACAGGAAGGAGTAAAAGAACAGTTACAACAGAAAGTAGAGACAGCATTCAAACAACTTCCACATGTAGTTGGCAATATTGAAGAAGAATGGAGTAAATATAAAAACACTATGCTTAGTATTGCAGAAGAATTATGTGGAAAACGGAAGAGTGGAAACAGATGGGGAAATAACAAATATTCATCTTGGTGGTGCGAAGAAGTAAAAGACGCAATTAAAAAGAAGAAGGACTTATATAAACAGTGGATAAAATCAAAGAAAGAAGAAGATTATATAAACTATAGACTGCAAAGGAGAGAAACCAACAGGAGTGTCAAGAAAGCAAAACAAGCATCCTGGGAACGTTTCGGTGAATCATTAGCAGAAAATGAGAAAACAGCCAGCAAAAAATTTTTCTAAGTAGTTAAAAATATGCGGAAAAGAGATGAGAGCTACAACCCCACTGAAATAATTAATGATAAGACAGGAAGGCCATTGATAGATCCACCCGAGATAGCAAAAAGATGGAGGGAATACTTCAATGAGCTCTTTAATCCTCTAGGAGATCATCAGGAAAGAACAACTGAAGAGCACAGAGCAACAGTGTTAGAACCACACATACTAATGGATGAAATAGAAAAGGTCATTAAGCAGTCTCCCAAATATAAAGCACCAGGAGCTGATAGATTACCAACAGAAATAATTCAAACAGCAGGTGAAAGCAGCATCAGATGGCTTCACAGAATATTCAATGCAGCATGGGTACAACAAACTGCCCCTATTGATTGGCAACATGCAATAGTTATACCATTGTGGAAGAACAAAGGAAGCAAACGAGAATGCGGTCAATACCGAGGCATCTCTCTTTTAAGCCATGTTGGCAAAATGTATGCCAAGATAATAGAAACAAGACTGAGACCAGTAATAGAACCACAGCTCGCAAAAGAACAGATGGGATTTAGGAGAAATAGGAGCTGCACAGATGCAATCTTCACACTTAAACAGTTAATAGAAAAGAACATTGAATACAATAAGAACTTATTTGTGGCCTTCATAGACCAGGAGAAGGCATTTGAAAGAGTCGACAGACAATTATTATGGAAAGTAATGGCAAGATATGGAGTAAGCGAACACCTCATCAAAGTGTGCAAAAGTTTATACAGGGATTGTAGAAGTGTAGTTAGAATAAATCAGGGAGCATCTCATCCATTCACAGTAACATCTGGAGTAAGACAGGGGTGTGTCTTATCACCACTGCTGTTTATCACCTAAATCGACAGTATATGCAAGAATGCCAAGCCCATGAATGAAGATCTCAGTAAGATCAACGAATTACTCTTTGCAGATGACCAGGCCTTGATAGCAGATACAGCCATGAAATTGCAACAACATCTAACATCCATGAATGAAGAATGTAAAACAAATAATATGAGAATCAACACTGAAAAGACAGAAGTAATGTCAATAGGAAAAAAGAAGACAGATCTAAACATAGCAATAGAATACAAAGGCATTAAACAGGCATCTGAGTTTAAATATCTGGGAACTACATTTACCGAAGATGGGAAATTGGATAAAGAAATTGACATTAGATGCAGTAAAGCAAACCAAGTATTGGGACAGCTAGCACCCCTCTTACAGCATAAGACAATCCCAATCAGCACAAAGAGACATCTTATTCAAAGCATATTTATTCCAACTCTGTGCTACCAGTGCCAGACATGGTCACTCACAACAAACCATAAAAGAAAATTAGTAACCATGGAAATGAGATGTCTGAGAAGGGCTGTAGGAGTGACCATAAGAGATAAGATAAGATAAGATCAGGAATGAGATCATAAGAGAAAAAGTCGGCACAGAACCAATTCTAAATTACATACAAAGACAGCAAGTGAAATGGTTTGCCGCTTAGAGAGTTTGCCTTGTGACACCATACCATACAAAGCATACATGGAAAGAGAAGAAGGTCGTAGAGCAAGAGGTAGACCAAGAACAAGATGGAAGGATAACATCAGAGAAGCTCTACAACAGCACGATGTGCCAATGGTCAAGGCGGCCAGAAGAGCCAGAAATAGAACCTTATATCTCCCTCGACACCCACAGCGGTAAAAGAGGAAGTGAAGAAGAAGAAGAAGAAAGAATGAAATGGTTCGGCCATCTAGTGAAAATGCAGCCAAACCAGACTGCAAATTAGACTTTTCACAGTAGAACATCTGGGAAGAAGGCAAGAGGAAGACCAAGAGAAATAGATGAATGGTGTAGCTGCAACCTGCAAACGATTGGACAAATCCATCACTCAAGCCACCTTTGGAGCGCAAGACAAATACAAAATACCTTGACACTGGGCTACAACCTGGTATCAGTGAGACAACAAAAGAAGAAGAAGATCAACTAAATGTACTCTTTTGGGTGGTAGTATGAGATTCGATCTGTGGATGAGGTTGTGACCTCACCACAAAGTCCCTGTGTGGGTCTCGGGGGGGGGGGGGGGGGGGGGGGGGGAGAGAGAGACCTACTGCCCCCACCCCAACACACGTCATAAATGGTGACCACTTAGAGAATTTACTTATAAAGTCAGCGCGTATTTGCCTGAATGAATTAATCAAGAATTGACATCACTGTATTGAGGACATTCCTGCACATGCTCTTCCTCTTCTTCGGTCGCCAATGAAGAGTCGACATGTTAATACCAGGTACAACCTGATTAAAAGTCCGCCTTTGTTTTCCACTCAATGCTGAATATCATCCAGATCCTGTTCATGCCCCCCCCCCCCTCCCTCCTTTCCATTTTGAATTAGTTTTTCAATGTATGGATTCTCTCTTTGTTCTATCTGGAACCAAAAATCCACATAAAAATAAGCCAGTTGTTTCAAATGCAAAACTCAAGTTCTGGAACAAGACCAAAGTCCAGAAGTGGACAAACAACCAGAACCTTCCACTGAAGTTTACAATCGATGAATGCTAAGAAGAAGAAGAAGAAGAAGAAGAGGAAGATGTTCGCAAAGACGGTGGAAGATGCATATATAGACAGCAGACACAGTTCATTGAGGACGTGACATAAATGTCTAGTTTTCATTTTATATAAATTAAATTAAAAGAATGATGGTAAAGAAATAAAACACTGTTATGAAACTGACCTGGGTATGGGACCTTGCCAAATGTGATGATCTCATACATGAGAACACCAAAAGACCACACGTCTGATTTAATACTGAATTTTCTGAAATGTGCTGCCTCTGGGGCTGTCCATTTTACCGGAAATCTAGAATCTGAAAGGTAAAGTTGATCAGTTCATGGAAAATGAGCAAATGTGGTAACAGACGAGTACTGATATGAGTATCTATACAGTTGGCAAGACCTAAACAACATAAAAATGGCAAAAAAATAGATTTTAAAAATTAAAACATAACATAACCCTTGACCCGTTAGGATCGTGGAGGTGTATCGATGGAAGCATTAGCACATAAAACCCGCCATCTTTCTTTGTCTTTCATTTGATGAATAAGTGTATGATAATTTAATCCTGTGCATTTCTTGATGTGACCATTCCAGGTTCTTCTTTGCTCTTCTATTTTTCAACCATCTCCCCCCCCCCCCCCCCCCCCCCCCAGTCTTTGCAATCAAATCATGTCTCTTACTGATTCACACATATTATAAACTCTAGTGTCAAATCAATACTTTTTTTATGAAACTGAAATATAGAGAACAACTTAAGCAAAATGATGAACTCTTTCACTGCCAACTAAGAGCAGAGGGATGTAGACCAAGAGGTCGACCAAGAACAAGATGGGAAGATAACATCAGAGAAACTCTACAGCACGACGATGTATCAATAGTCGAAGCAGCCAGAAGAGCATGAAGCAGGACATTATATTTCCCTAGACACCCAAAACGGTAAAAAAGGACGTAAAGAAGAAGAAGTGCCAACCAATGTGCCATGTGTGATCAGGAACTTTGAAGATTACCAAGCCATGAGTGGTTTAACTAGTGTTTAGCTTACGAACACTATAAAAACCATGGCCAGGTATTTGTATTTCTGTATCTGTGACAGTTAAGCTCTCACACACTGTTAATGTCGACTGAGTCTATCGTTACTTTGCAAGTGTCCAGCTAAATGTTCTGGTGCTTAAAGAGATAATAAACTACAAACATTCTTTCTGTCTGTGCAGAATAGAGGGAATTAAATTGTATGACAAAATTACTAATGCAGAGCTTTGGGTGAGAACAAATTCCAGTGCATAAAGAAGCGAGGAAAAGACACAGGTGTTGGATATGATACACAATGCAAAAACCTAACAATACAATTAGAATGTCCCTGTACCCAAACCCATAGGGTCAAAGGAATAAAGGCAGACATAACAACAACAACAACAACAACTTATGGAGAAGGAAATTAGTGCAGTGAAAACAATGGGAAAAAGTCGGGGTGGGGGGGGGGGGGTGAGTTCACTAAGGGCCTATACTAATTTAGGATACAGATGGCAAAAGAAATTAAAAAAAAATTGTTACAGAACCCAACAACACAACAAAATGAAGGGTTGGTTACTTAATCTGAAATTGATAATGTCACCCTCGCACATATGTGTATATTCAACACAGTCAACTAAGCATATCCTACAAGACAGCCACATGCTTTGTCAATTCTAGACTGAACAATGGCCCTGAGAGAGATCATTCAAGCAAAGCTTTTTGGGAGACCCTCCTCTCCCCCCACCTTTTCCAAATCACATGTACATATGCACAAACAGAAGGAAATACTGCTACACTTTAAAAAAAGGAACTGAAAAATTTCATAAATAACAGGAACTGAAACAATTAATGTAAATATACCCTCACAGCCTTGTTTTTGGAATCTGACAGGCACAGAGATTTGATGTCTGCATGTAACTGGCAAAGGCAATTTAATGTAATGCCTGTTTTATTTGTCTGTGATTGTGTCCATGTCAAGTTGAGCAATCACAGAATGTAATTTTATCATGCATATTTGTTATCCCTGCCTTTGAGCCTTATTTAAATTAGTTTTTGAGTTTTATAAAGAGCTGCATACTTCTATAGGAAAGATATATACACTATATAAACTGCTATACATAAACTTTTGAACACACATAAACTACTATACAGTACCTACTATACATAAACTACTATACATAAACTACTATGGGGGCAGCATTAGCACAGTCGAAAGGAGGCCCGCTTTCAAATCCAGCTGCGACTCGCTGCAGCCAATGTTCGGTGTTCGAAACCAGGCGGTTCCCGGGGTTCACCCAGCCTTTAGGAAATGGGTACCAGAGTTAACACTCTGGGGTAAATGGAGGAACGTCGCTGTAGCTACGGAGTTGTGTGCGGATGGCGACACAGGCGGAAAGTTTCTTATCAGCTGTCCGTACTGGTGGCAGAGCTCTTATGGTTTATAACCGTGTGCAGTGACGCTGGTTCACATCTCCCAACTTTAACTTTTACCTTTACATAAACTACTATGCAAAGGTGGCAATGGACCTCCCCCACTAAAGATACAGAATGGACCTCTCCCACTGAAGATACAAAATGGACCTCTCCCACTGAAGATACAGAATGGACTTCTCCTACTGAAGATACAGAATGGACCTCTCCTACTGAAGATACAGAATGGACTTCTCCTACTGAAGATACAGAATGGACCTCCCCCACTAAAGATACAGAATGGACCTCTCCCACTGAAGATACAGAATGGACCTCTCCTACTGAAGATACAGAATGGACTTCTCCTACTGAAGATACAGAATGGACCTCTCCCACTGAAGATACAGAATGATCTCTCCCACTGAAGATACAGAATGACCACTCCCACTGAAGATACAGAATGGACTTCTCCTACTGAAGATACAGAATGGACCTCTCCCACTGAAGATACAGAATGGACCTCTCCCACTGAAGATACAGAATGGACCTCTCCCACTGAAGATACAGAATGGACCTCTCCCACTGAAGATACAGAGCATCAAACACAATTGGCTCACGAACAGCATCCTGTCCTAAAAGATGAGGTATTTAGGCCATGTTAATCATTATGGCAAAACTGCCATGGAGAAGGAAATATATGTTAATGAGGAAAGATTGGAAGTGGTGGAAAATTTTGAATATCTTGGGTCACTGGTTACCAACAATGGTGACACAATGAAAGAAATTAAACGGCGACTATCAATTGCTCTTCAAAGACTAAAACAACTGAATAAATTATGGAATTGTACAGATAGAATTACAAAGGTCAGATTTTTAAGAGCATGCATCTTTCCCATTGCAACATACGCCTGTGAGACCTGGACACTTACTAAACAAGCGGAACAGCGCATAAATGCATTTGAATATAAATGTTACAGACAGGTTCTAAGAATATCTTGGGTAAAGAAAAGAACAAATGCATCCATACTTCAAGAGCTGAATATTGAAGAGGGTTGGCTAGTAAAGACAATAAAACAAAGAAAATTGAAATATTTTGGTCACTTGAAACGTCATGGAAGTCTAGAGAGAACAATAATGGAGGGGTATATGCCTGGGAAGAGAGGAAGAGGAAGGCCAAGGAGAAGATGGGTGCAGGATGTGGCAGATGATCTCCAGATGGGTGTATCAGACGCAGGACATCTTGCTCATGATAGGAAGGTTTTCCGGAGGGTTGTTATGGCAGCGAGGTTCCGCGAGGGACATGCTACTGAATGAATGAATGAATCATTATGGTGGTGGTCCAGAGAAAACGGCCATGGAGGGTACAGTTTGTAGAAAACGAGGCAGAGGTCGACCTCCAAAAGGGTTAATACAAAACAATGAAGATGCACTGGCTATGAAAGCACATAGGGCTGGAGAATTGGCTGGAGAAAGAGAGACTTTCGGGCCTGCCATGATGACAGCTATCTTCTATACAGGACCTGCTGGCTGATTATGTTGCAGCTAAAAGGTGTATCCGGGATTAGCTCCTTTGGAGTCACATACTTCTTCTTCTTCTTCGCGTTCACCAGCTGTACACTCTGGCGTAAAGTTCTGGTTGTTCGTCCACTTCTGGACTGCAGTCCTGCTCCAGAACCTGAGTGTTGCGTGTGCATCAGTTTTACAGATCTGATTCAATTGAATGTAGACTGCTGGTTCCTTATCTCTCAGGCAGATGCACTCCGACTTCAAAGGAAGCTCCCCAGTTAGTCGACTCTTACGACATGCTTTTGGGGAGGCAGTGGGTCTATTCTTGTTTTCCCCTACAATGGGGCCCCGGAACCCACACGGGGGAAATCACATACTGAAAAGTTGCTCTTTGTGTGTCAATACATCAGGTAGCAATCCCAATTCCAAAAAAACAAAAACAAAGAGAGAGCAGTACACTGAGGTAGCGTGTGTGATTGTAAGTCTCCCAATGTATCTTCCTCTTCTTAAAGTCCATGCCGTATGGCGTTGGTATTCATGCCTGTCCACAACCTTCTATCTCGTGTACTTTCAATCCACTTTGACATGATGATCATCCATGCCAGGATGTCTGACTGTCCAGCGTCTGTTCTCTTGGTCTCCCTCTGCCTCTCCTCCCCTAAATCTTTCCTACTGTCACGGTGTACTCCAGTTTTCTCCTTCACATCACATGACCAAAGAATGTAGATTGTCTCTTTCTGATGTGGGCAGCCAGTTCTCTTCGTGAGTCAGTTTCTTTCAAGACTTCTTCATTACTCTTTTTATCTGTCCATGGTACTCTCATTATTCGTCTATAAAAATCACTTCTCCGCAGCTTCCAAATAAGTTTGCACAACTATCCATGATTCACTTCTAGATATCTAGAGAGGATTTATATAGTTTTCTCTTTCTCATCCTACATATAAGGTATAATGGGGACATAAGCATTGTTCCTGGTGTAGTGTCACATGAAATGTGGCTCATTGAGTTACTGTGGTATCAAACCTGTCAGCTCCCCAAATAGGTAGGTAGGTAGGTTGTACCCAACCAGGACATCACACAGGCAATAAACACCCGGTGACACAAAGTGCCACCATGCGTCAGGACAAATTTAAGGCCCGGCTATATCTAGGGCTCCCGGCAAAAGATTGGTGGGGCTTCAAAATAACTAAAAATTGCATCCCATATGAGGACGATGCTTACCCCAAATAAATCCCCATTTCTGTGGACAAATAGCAGACCCAGTGACCCCAAACAAGCATGTCATAAAAGGCAACTAATAAGCAGTCTGCTGGAACTGGATGTGTTGGGCCCAAAAGGTACAGACAGCACAGCCTAACTGTAAACAACACAATGTTCCAGCCATCCTTTTAAGGGTGATTGCAGAAGAACGAGTAACCTATAAGCAATAGTCCTGCAGGAGAATGAGAAACCTATAAGCAATAGTCCTGTAGGAGAATGAGAAACCTATAAGCAATAGTCCTGCAGGAGAATGAGAAACCTATAAGCAATAGTCCTGCAGGAGAATGAGAAACCTATAAGCAATAGTCCTGCAGGAGGATGAGAAACCTATAAGCAATAGTCCTGCAGGAGAATGAGAAACCTATAAGCAATAGTCCTGCAGGAGGAATGCACACCCCAAAAATACTCACACTCCCTACTTTATAAACATCACTTACTCAGTTCAGCTTTATAAATCTCTGACTCTAGAATTCTGGCCAAACCAAAATCTGCAACCTTGACATCATAACGCTCTCCTACCAAAATATTTGCTGCCCTCAGATCTCGATGGATATAGTTTTTAGACTCCAAGTATGCCATGCCTTCAGCGATCTGAAATTAACGGATATATTTTTATTTTGTTTTCAAATTAAAAGGACACAGACTGAACATTGCTTCGTTTTTAAACTAAGATGGTGGGGGTTATGTACACTTTCATAATTCCAACATACTGGGTTCAATTCAACTGGTCTGACATTGAAAGCTTTGCACTACTTTCAACAAAGTATGGACATAAAGAAGATGGAGATGGCTTGGATATGTTTGCAGAATGCCTCGTGACACTTTGGCAAGAACAGCCCTCCAGCAGATGGTAGGTACAAAAAGACAGATGTGGACAGCATAAGGATACCTAGGGAAAGAAAGCAGAAAGGGAAATGAAGGTATGTAAACTGGCATGAGACACCATGGGCAGAAAAAACAGCAGACTGGCAGACGTGGAGATTAATTTTCAATGTCTTCTGTGTCAACGATGTCATGAAGAGTACACAGATTGATAGAATGAACTAATGAAAAGCAAACAAACAAACAAAATTTACTTTCAAAGTGTTAATAATTGGGCACGCAATAATAACATTTTGACCTTCCAGTCTCACTCCTTACATACAGTTATCCATTCATATATAATTTTATAGGTAATCACAAACACCTTGGATTGCCAGAATAACTAACAAAGATTGTCTGGAAATGGCTAATGAAAGTAGAACATTATATACAACAATGAGAAGGGGACAATCACAATTCTTTGGTCATGTGATGAGAAAAGGAGCACTGGAAAATATTGTATCGACTGGAAAGATCACTGGTAGAAGAACGAACGAACAACGAACCTACTTTATTTTTTAAGGGTTAAGAATTGGGCATGCAGGGGCAGAAGCAGACCAAAAGAAATGATGGTGGATGGCTTGAGACAGTGGCATGGAGGAATATCATCAGTGGAATTGATCCAGAACACCAAAGACCGAGATCTGTGGAGATGCATGCATGAACGCCTACACCAGCTGGCAAGGCACTTGATGATGATGAGTAACAAACATTTTCAATGACAACTACATCTTAATGTTACTAAACTAACAAGATTTATTTTTGTATAGTAATAAATCTAATCCTACAAGCTAGAGGTTGTGAAGGTCCTCTGAGAGAGAGTGAACAGTGCGTAAGTGCAAATTGATCATTACGGTCCGAGGAGAATGGTGTTGCGAGGAGTTACCAACGGATCTGGCCGATGCTCAACACTCAAGGGAAGGGCAAGACAGATATACAATCATACAGTTACTGGTGCCATCGGAATTGGAACTCTTCATTTGCTGCTGAAGATGGGGACGAAGCGCATATGGGGGTGTCCCGAGAGCTATGATGTCGATTCTTAGTTCAACATTCAAATCTTATCCAACAGACAGATGGGCACTGATCACAAAATTTCCTAGTAAAACCACAAATGGTTAACAAAGGAAGGGGTTAATTTGCAAAGTCCTATTAATAAAAATGTGGAATTTACTTAAATTTTTACTAAACAAAGAAAAATTCTGTGACACTGATGTGTGCAAATGTAAAATTGGTGGCTAAACATTTACTGCAGGTGTCCAACCTATGAGGAGTGGCTGGCTGAATGGTTAAGAACTCAGGGCTCTCATGAGGAAGACCCAAGTTCAAATCCTTGGCAATGTCATGGATTTTTTTTTTGTTAGGAGCGAAAATAAAGTCTTAACCTGCACAGTCGATGGTGACAGCATGAATCAAACTGGCACTAAATCCTCAGGTTCTTCTTCTTCTCGTTCACCAGCTGTAAACTCCGGCAGAAAGTTCTGGTTGTTTGTCCACTTCTGGACTGCAGTTCTGTTCCAGAACCTGAGTGATGCATGTGCATCCGTTTGACAGATCTGTATGCAGACTGCTGGTTCCTGGCCTCTCAGGCAGATGCACTCCAACTTCGAAGGAAGCTCCCAATTAGTCGACTCTTACGACATGCTTTTGGGTAGGCAGTGGGTCTATTCTTGTTTTTCCCATAGTAGGGCTCCGGAACCCACATGGGGAAATCCCCAGGTTCAAAGACCCCCACCTACACTGCAAAAGTGGTAAATAAAGGCCGTAATTGGCAGTCCAACCTATGTAGAAGTTAGAAATATTTTGGCCAACTGGCGGTCTTTGTGGTTAAGGGATTAAGCTGTGTGCCTTGCGCTTTGAAGGCTTTGGGTTCATTTCATGGACTGAGTCATCCACAAGAGCAATTTTGTTTTATATATTTTTTAGGATTGTCCATCAAGAATCAAGCAATTCTTTACAAGTGAGGCAGTTAAAAAAGGATAGTCTTACAGTGCATTTGAATAAATCTTTGGATTTCTTTAGGAGTTGTGATCAGTTCACATGAGCAGTAAACTGCTGCTGTTCACCTGCGCCGCAGAAGTCGTGTTCAAGCAGGCTGGCCAGGGCCTGATCATGGACGTGTGCCTGCGATGTTGCATTTGCCAGTTTGTTGCAGCGATTTGTTGGCTTGATTAAAAACTTGGCTTACGGTTTTTGTTTTTCATTTTGGGCAATCTAGGAAAGGTAAGGGTGGGGTTGGGTTGGGGAATTTAAAAAATATTATGGTGGGGTATATTTGATAAGTGATAACTGTGTTGCTCGTTTGTCTGTCTGTATTTCTGCATGCCTGTCTGTTCCTCAGTCCTCATTTTCTTATCTGCTCATTCTCCTTTCCAGCGCCATTCTCCTAGGAGGCACTGAGCTCTTCTCAGGAAGTTAAAGTGAACTAAAATCTTCATTTATTTCATCTAATTGCTTTTTTATTTATTATTTTAGTATTAATTCCTGTGTGTGCTGATGCGCACGTACAAAAATCCCTTGGCATTCGGAAACTGAAAAGAGTAGCCTAACAGCGCTGCCCAGGCAAAATTTGGAGTAAAAAAACTACCTAAAGTATTTCAGGATCCTTGCCGGTGCTACAGCGTTCATGCACAGCGCTAAGATTGTTCTGACTTAGGCCTAGAGTCAGAAGTAGAATGGAGCACTTATGGAACAGGATGTTGATCAGTCGTCTAAACCTAAACCTAATTTTAGTATTAGGCAGTATATACATTATTTTATGCAACCCCCATCATCTTTATCATGTAGCAAGTCCTTTGCAGAACGTCGCTCTCATCACAATCTGCTTAACAGAAACTGTCTCTCGCCAGCTCTTCCGCCTCATGTACTTTCATCTTCAAGGAGTCACTGATATCCTGTGCCCATCTACGTGCTGGTCGGCCCCTGACCCTCCTTCCTAGTATCATGCCTTCTGCTATTATTTTTTCGAGTCCACCATGGTGCTTGATGTAACCAAAACATTTCAGTTTCCCTTGATGTTCAGATCTTCTCTTCTTCACCAATGGTATTCCAGGAATCTCTGTTTAGCATTTCAGCTCAAAAGCCCCTATTTTCTTTCTGAAGGACTGGGAGACAGTCAACACTCATCAATGTATAATATTTCAGGACAAAAGTATTTTTTTGCGCGGAACAGATTAAACATTCTCCTCCCTTTATTTCTCATGGAGAAAAAATTGTTCACTATACATCCTAATGGCATAAGTCCTAATTGGTATAAGTCCTGTTTGGTATATGTCCTGTTTGGTATATGGTCTGTTTGGTATGTGTACTGTTTGGTATGTGTACTGTTTGGTATATGGTCTGTTTGGTATGTGTACTGTTTGGTCTATGGCCTGTTTGCTATAGGATTACGTCCAAGGATCTGAAACGGATTCTCAAACTTTCTAATGTGGCGACCCTTTAATACAGTTCCTCATGTTGTGATGACTCCCAGCCAACAAATTATTTTTGTTGCTACTTCCTAACTTCAGTGAATATGTGTTTTCCGATGGTCTTAGGTGACATTTGTGAAAGGGTCGTTTGATCCACAAAAGGGTTGCGACCCAGGTGAAACGGTTGTTTGACCAACAAAAGGGTCGTGACCCACAGGTTGAGAAATGCTGATTTAGGCCATTGCAATTGGCAAACATAAAACTAGAACACAGTTGTAACCAAAGCTTTCTTTAGCAGGGATTAACATGCTCGACTTTCAATGTTTTTCTTAAAGAAGGGAAAAAAAACGGTTGGGTCTCACTCAAAATAATGGCTTTCTCAGCCTGTCTGCGTCATTCACGAAAGACTGTACCATTCTTCATAAATCAGACTTATTCTTAAAAGACCGCCTTTTTATGGGGAAAAAACAATAATTATTGAAGGACTGTCTCATTTTGTAAAGGATGTCTCATTCGTTAAAGGTTCTTATTCCTGACAAACAACTGGGGGTAAGAAAACTTCACATTAAGAATGCTAAGCTATACAAATTAAGTGCAGTAAGGTTTGAACAACGGATCAACATCATGGCACACGGGTAGTAACTAACTGCAGTAATTACCTGTGCATTCATATCTATAAGCTGACTAAATTTGAGTTTCTTCCCTTGTTCTGAACGCAAAAATTCAAGCAGTGCCCCCTTTGGCATAAGTTCAGTGATGATGTAGAATGGCTCTGAGCTTGATACGACAGCCATTAACTGTGGAATAGAGAGATGTCAATGTTGGGAATAAAGTAGAAAAAATAATAAGTGATGTTTGGCTTCAGAGAGTTAGTAAAACAAAAACCAATTATACCTCTTCCTTGACTTATGACCTATATGACTTCATGACCATCCGCACTTACAACCATAACAAAATAAATAAGTAAAAATAGTAAATAAAATAAGATAACTCTGATGCATCAGAGTAGATATTACATAATTTTCACATTATGTACAATAATTATACATATATAGATTCAATATTTTCTATATTATGTAAAATGTGTATAAGCTGATTGAATACAAATAGTATTGAAAAACAGAAATTCTGCTTACGAGCAGTTCGACGATAACTGGTGTTGTTGTTTACCAGAAATGATACCGCTGCACTCAGGTTTCATTTGTTGACACCTTTCTGTCATTCCTGACGATAGTGTTATATTGTTTTATACAGATTCATAGGAATAACAACTGATTAACGCCAACCATGAAATTCTTCCTCTACACAGTACAAATCATGGACAGCTTTGCAAAGACTGTGTTGCCCATGCAGCACGATCCCTCTCGTAGCCTGCCTTGTTTACTCCAAAGAAGAGGCCACACAATACACTTGGAGTAAAGCCTACTGCAGACGTTGTTGGATCAGAATAGCTGTGCACTATCTGTCCAAAAGACCTGTAAATGTTCAGTTTCATTCAACATACACCACATCCTTCCTTTCTCTCTTCCTTCCTGGATCCCATCTCAAACATTATAAAAATGATCCAGTACCTATCTTTCAATGTCAAAGGAGGATGACCATAGTAATACAAAGATTAAACAGCATTCAAAGTCTGTGGTTAAGCACTAGCAAGCAAATCACAGAGTTAAAATTTTTAGAGCATTCCTGTCGAATGATTTCTGTCCAACAGTCTACATTGTTATTTATAAGGTGCCTAGATATTCAAAGTTTGTTACATTTTCAATAGCTACAGATGGTGGCTAAAAGTTTGAGGCAACACTGCTTGCTAACTCTTTCAATCCAGATAGTTTCAAAGTAGAAACCCAATTTGGCACACAAAGGGCATCAGTGTACGACTGTCAAAGATACAGCATATACTGTGCTGCCTTTAAAATATTTGACCAGATTTCTTTTGCATAAACATATCAAACATGAAATAAATAATAACACACCATGTGTTGCATCGATTCACATAGATATAGGTTGAGCACATACTGTGCATTGTCTGGGACATAAATAGTTAATGCCCTTAAAGAGATAGGACAATCAGAGGATTTTGGGAGCAGCGCATCTACACTGTTGCTAAAAATGTGAGAAACAGGAGTAAAGATCAGCACAACTAGGCATGAGAGGCACACCGGATGTATGAGAAGCCCTGTCAACCAGCACAGGCACTTTTATCTACAGGACTCTGATTATATGTTTAAGGGGGAAACCTGAGCACTTATGGACATGTCTGGAGTGCCATGAAGATCACCCAACACATAACACATTAAATCTCAAAATAGTTGGCTGCAGTGCATTTTCTGCTGTCCTTGGGAATAGTATGTGATGAGGCCCCAAAGTCTTCCACATTGCGACTCCATCACCCATGCCCTGAATCTAAGAAGATCATCTAAATACCCCCACTCCCCCCCCCCACCCCCACCAATAATTACTTGGGGGGGGGGGGATCTTACACAATATAGTTACCTGCACAAGCCTATGATGCGTTAATTTATGCATGATTTTTGCCTCCTCCAAGAAAGCTTCTGATGTCATGGTGCCCGGCTTCAGTGTTTTCACTGCTACATCCACAACTTTCCGGAACTTCCCTGGAAGCAATGAAGCAAAGGTTATGTACAAAGTGTGCTCTGGGTAAAATAAAACTGCTTTTTTTTTTCAAGCTATCCATCTAGCTTTCTAAACTTAGGATATCCTCCTTAATGTTTGGTGGCTGACGACACCAGTTCGGTGTTAGTTTCCTATTCTTCTCTGGCTTCCTGCATAGCACTCCTCTTGTCTAGCCACACACCTTTTAACACGCCGTTCTTGCAGTCTGATCATGGTTGCAGATTCACAGACATCACCTGTTTCTCTTGGCTTTCTAAACTAAGTGTTGTGAGACATAAGTGTGTCAAATGTATTGCAGAGGTGTGTAGATGGTTACTGGTTTTATTCAGTTTGTTTTAATATTATTAGTCATAAATTATAATAATTAACACAAATCTTGTAAATATATACTTTTTTTTTTAATAAATGAAATTTTTTCACAAGACAGGTTGTGTCATGAAATATTTCTTTGTTACAATTCATGAAGATGTCTGCAACTCTTATAAAGTCAGTTTAACCTCTGCTTTTCTAGTAGACTAAAATACTGTGTTGTGAAATTATATTTTTCTAAAAAGTGTTACCAACATGAACAACTGTGAAAGTTCTGATCTAGTATAATGACATATCAAACACCACTGATTAAATATAAAAATGGAAATATAATGCTGCTTCTCTCTGGTGCAAGTCAAAAGTGTGGCGGTCATCTTTATACGATATATCATCTTCTTCTGCCTTTCTATCCCCCAATGGAGCATAGGCCCTCAACCAACTCACGCCAAGTCGTTCTATCCTTCGCCATTGCATGGAACTCTCCCCATGTCCTTCCCATCTTTCTAGCCTCATTCTCCAGCTCTTTTCTCCACATGTTTTTTGGCCTTCCTTTATTCCTATGCCCCTGTGGGTTCCAATGCAAAGACATTCTAGTTGTGCTGTTCTCCTGTTTTCTCAGTGTGTGTCCTATCCAATGCCAGCGTCTTTTCCTCACCTCTTGGTCCACTGGAGCCTGTTTAGTTCTCTCCCAAAGTTCTACATTAGTTATTCTATCATACCATTTTATTCCCTCTATTCTGCGCAGGCACCAGTTAATGATAGTCTGTAATTTATTAGTAATTGCCTTGGTTGTTCTCCATGTTTCCGCCCTATACAATAGTACTGATTTGACATTCGAATTAAACATTTTTAGTTTAGTATTTCTTTTAATTTTTTTTGACCTCCACAAATTCCCTAGTGCTATGAAAGCCCCCAATAAGGCAAGAATCCAGGCAAGAGTATGTGTCTAATTTTATACGAAAACGCCGCTGGAACTATGTCGGCCACGCCATTAGAATGGATAAATCAAGACTTCCTTACCAAGCCCTCATTTGGACACCACAGGGGAAAAGATCTCGTGGAAGACCAAGGTAAACCCTGCGTAGAACTATCATCAGGGAAGGCTCGCTCATGGGCCACTCAAACATCCAAGACCTACAACGGATTGCAACGGACCGCCGTGCATGGAGAGTCACGACCTCTGCCCTATGTGCCGCACTCGACACAAGAGGAAAGACTAACTAACTAATGAAAGCCCCTCTTGCCTTTTGTATTCTTATTTTAATATCTCTACATTACTGCCTAAATAGGTGTACGATTCCACGTCTTGGAGTGGGGTGCCATTAAGAGAAACCACATTACTATTTGCCTGATTTATTCTCATTATCTTTGTCTTTCCTTTATGGATTTTCAGACCAAGCTGCTGTGATCTCGCATCAAGTATATTTAATTTATCTTGCATCTGATTCCGTGAATGGGACAGAAGAGCAATATCATCAGCGAAGTCCAGATCATCAAGCTGTTTTGTAGGGGTCCACTGAATTCCATTCTTGGTGTTAGCAGTTACTGTTTTCAGATGTCCAGTCTATAGCCTGTAAAAATAAGAGAGGCGACAAAAGACATCCCTGTCGCACACCTGTTTTTATTTCAAATGCATCTGTTAGCTTTCCCTCATGAAGAACTCGACATTTCATGTCTTTATATGTTGCCTTTACTAAGTTGATAATTTTCTGTGGGATTCCATAGTGCCCCATCAATTTCCAGAGAGATTCCCTATCAATGCTGTCAAATGCTTTTTCGGCTCTCCTTTAAATAACGGTCCCAAATGATCTACGCAGAAAGTTAACCCTAACAGAGCCTCATTACGTCCTGCCCTACAAACATTTAAAAGCTGTAACTCAGGAAATATAAGGAACGGAAAGTATGAGGAAAATGGGGGAATTCTACTAATTACCCATATTGAAATCCTTTATTCGTGAAAATTGTGGCATGCTATCAGGACTAAACTAGATGGCCAGGACTCATGAGCAAATACATTGGAGGAAGCTGCAGGAGCTGCGGTAGCTGATGCTCGTGAGTCCTAGCCATCTAGTTTAGCCCCTTCCGTGCCACGCTTAGCGGCGCGGGGGATACTCTCGGAGGTGGCACTATAGTCGGCGAAAAGCGGTCCGCAAGTTGCATATAACTTGGGCCCTGCCGTAGAATAGCGCTATCGGCAGAATTCTCGCGTGTCGCAAATTTTTTTCGTCCGTAGTTAATCCTAGTTTTGCCGCCGTGTAATCGCCGTAAAAAAAAATCTGTTGCGTTTCGCGAAAATGTTGTGCGCAATTAATCCTACTTTTGACACGTTTGAATCGCCGCAAAAGAAATGTGAATTTTAGATATGAGTGAGGCTCTGTTTGGGTTTACTTTCTGCGTAGATATTTGGGAACGTTATTTAAAGGAGAGCCGATTTTTCATAATCTATAAATTCAATGTAAAGTGTTGAGCCTAGTCCAATGCTTTGCTCTATTATAATTCGTAATGTGACTATCTGGTCAGTACAGGATCTGTTTAACCGAAAACCTGCCTGCTTATCTCTTAGCATTTTATCAATAGCATCTTTTAATCTTTCCAAAATAATTCTACTTAATATTTTTCCAGGAACTGACAGCAACATAATTCCTCTATAGTTTTCACACTCCTGTAAATCACCTTTTTTTGGGCAGTTTCGCAAGATATCCCTCTCTCTAGTCTGCTGGTATTTCTTTGGTCTCCCAGACTTTACTGAATAATCTATGTAGCAATTCTGTTTATGTTGGCCCTGATGGCTTCAGCTGAGATACCATCTGGGTCTGTCGCCTTTCCTTCCCTGAGAAGATTGATAGCTTTTCTAACGATATATCATATACAACACTTATACCCATTTAAGGCTGGGTTGACCTGGGACCTAGGGTCAGACATGTATGTTATATGTGTGTGTGTATACATATATGTAATTGTGCTCGTCTCTCTAGCGTAGTTGGCTAAACCGGATTGCGCGGTGAGCGGGTAACGAACTCCTTGTGGTCCGGGTTCACTCCCGGAGGTGGGCAGAAAAGCCACATTTCTCCCAGATTTACGGTATTTAAAATGGAATCAAGGCCGAAAGGTTGCGATATCCATAATACCGAGCCTAAGGGTTAACAACTCATGGCTTCTGGATACTAAAACAAACATATGTAACTGTACTTGTAGGTCTCTACATGTGTGTGGATTTTTATAGTGCATACCAGCCCCCTCGCCTATAAACCCTCATTAGGTACTAGAGTAGCAGTCCAAGCCACTAGTTTTGGTGCCATTAACTTTTCTTAGCAAATATAATTGTCACAAAAAACCAGACCACAATTGTAACCAGAAACTGCTTATAGTAGGTTAAACGTGGTTGATTTTTTTTTTCATCATTGGAAGGATGGAAATGTCAAATCATGTCACATGTTCGTCTGCACAGTGATGTCACATGCTTAACACTCTTGACATCCTTAACAATAATACTAACAGGCAACAAGACAATGTTACTATAACCTTTAAAGTTTCTATTTGAATTCTCCTCATATCTACTGAACAACATAAATGTATTTACCTTTCCACACTTCACCAAAGCATCCTCCTCCTAACTTGGTGCTCAGTTTCACAGCATCTCTACTGACTTCCAACTCTCTGAACTGCAGAGATGGTCGCAAGCGGGGACAGGGGACAGTTAATGGACAGCACAGGCCAGTGGCATTTTCTGCAATGTAAGTCACATATCTCTAAGCATATTTCTGCACATGATTATTAAGTGAGAAAACTACATATACACACACCCACACATATAAAACAGGGAGTTGCCGTGGTATAGAGGCTAGACATTGGCCTGCAGATCGGAAGGACATGGGTTTGGATCCCGACGGAACCGGGTTTTATTCAAATATGACCTTGGCTCCCAGGTCAACCCAGATTAGTGGGTACCAGGTGCATTCCTAAGAAGTAAAGGTGGCTGATGTGATGGTGACCACATCACCCACCAAGTGCCGAGTGGTCTATGAAATAGAGGTCTAGCCCTATACGCCTGAAGGTGTGGAAAAGGGTCCTTTAGTTTACTTTATATTAAACTGTATAGTTTTGAAATTAAGCTAAAGATTTTCAATTCTCATGTCATTTCAGTTTTAATATATGCCAGTGAAAGTTGGGAAACCACTAAAGACGTGGAACAAAAGTTAAATGCATTCAAAAACAAATGCCCGAGTTGAGTTGATTCAAGAACCAACATCACAGCACTCGGGACATTCCCATAAGCGCTCCGTCCCCATCTTCAGCAACCAGTAAAGAATTCTGATACTAATGGTGCCAGTAGCATTCTGATTAAACGCCTTGAGCATCTGCCAGAACCTCTTGTCATTCTCCCCCTGCATCAATCTCACCAGACTGTGGTGATCCATCTGCTCCTCCAAACTGTACATGCTTTTCCACAATGCACTAACCACCTCTGCCTTATCATGCATCAGTATTTCACCAAGTTGTGCAGAGCCAGCCAGTCTGTCGGCCTGTTTATTTCAATGCCCGAGGAAAAGGATTCATATAAAAAATGGAATGAATTCAAAAGGAGTGAAGAAATAAAAGAAATGTCTGAGCAATCACCAGAATCAACAGTTATAAGACAGAGAAGATAGCGCTATACTGGATACATTCAGAGATGATAGCGCTATACTGGATACATTCAGAGAAGATAGCGCTATACTGGATACATTCAGAGAAGATAGCACTATATTGAATACATTCAGAGAAGATAGCACAATATTGGATACATTCAGAGAAGATAGCACTATATTGGATACATTCAGAGAAGATAGCACAATATTGGATACATTCAGAGAAGATAGCACTATATTGGATACATTCAGAGAAGAGACAGAATCAATAAACAGGCACTGAAATAGAAAAAAAAGAGATTAAGGAAATGATTAATGCCTAATTCTAAGAGAAACCTTGAGGTGAACTAGTGATGAGAGAAGTGAAACATGCAGGACTTGATGCCATTAACGATATCGAAGTGATTGCACCGGATAGAACTGAGTGGAGGACTAAATTTCAAGCCCTATGTGGCATGTAATGGCACAACAGGACAAAGAATTGGTGAACTGATACAAGACAAGGCAGATGTGGTCAAGGCCCTCTGGGGACAAGCAACGGAATCAGTAGATTTAATTTGATTTGATTCAAGAACCGAAATCACAGCACTCGGAGCATTCCCATAGGCGCTCCGTCCCCATCTTCAGCAGCCAGCGAAGAGTTCCTATACTAATGGTGGCAGTAACATACTTATTAAACACCCGCCTTGCCTTTCCTTTGAGCCTCGAGCATCTTCCGGAACCTCTCGTCACTCCCCCCCTGCATCAATCTCACCAGACTATGGTGATCCATCTGCTCCTCTGAACTGTACACGCTCTCCGACAAGGCCCTAACCACGTCCTTATCATGTATCAGTATTCCACCAAGTTGTGCAGAGCCAGCCAGTCTGACCGCCTGTTCATTTCCCAACACATCAGCGTGACCTGGTAAAAAAATCCAGACAATACTCCTCACCCGTGTCCTCCGCAGCAAAGCATGCCTGTCCTGATCTTCCTCAGTAGAGAAATTAGTAGAGAAACAAGATTATTATGGCCTGGAAAGAATGAGGCACCTGGGTGTAACCAGAGGGTCTGACCGGCTCACTACACTCAGAGGAAAGACAAGATATACATATAACCAGATTGTGACTGGTGACATCAGTATTAGGACTCTGCGCTGGCTGCTGAAGATGAGGACGGAGCATGCATGGGAATGCCCCAAATGCTGTGATGTCTTGACTCAACTCAACTCTAGGACAAAGAAAAAATGAATACCCCTAAAATCATCATCATCGACTGGCGTGGGCGATCATGCCTCTCCATAATCTGCGATCTCCTGCAGCATGTATCAGTTCGTGTGCCGACACATCTCCATGCCATGCAACAAGACTGCCAAGCATCTTCTCTCGTTGTCTTCCTCTATCTCTCCTTCCACAGATCTTTCCAGTGGTCACAACATGTTCTAATTTCCCTCTTCTCATAACATGGCCGAAAAATGAAGACTGTCTCCTTCTGATGTCTGTGATGAGTTGTCTTCGGGCTCGCGCCTCTTTCAAAACCTCTTGGTTGCTCATTTTGGCTGTCCAAGGTATTCTAAGCATTCTTCTGTAAAACCACATCTCCAAGGCCTCCAGAAATTGTTTGGCCTGCCTACCGATTGTCTAGGATTCACAGCCATATGTTAAAATTGGATGTATGTAGCAAGCAAGAATTCTTTTTCTAACTCTCAATGACAAGGATATATTGCACAAGATGTTTTTCATTTTATAAAATGCAGTTTTTGCCTGTCCTATTCTGTTTCTTATCTCAGTTATGCATCTTCCATCTGATGTTATCCATGTGCCCATATACTTAAATTTCTGCACTTGTCCTAAAATAACACCATCAGCTTTTATTACACACTTAGGAATAATTTGTTTCTTTGATACCACCATTACTTCTGTCTTCCCATTATTCAAACTGAGGCTCATTCTTCCACTTTCTAACACCACAATGTCTATCATTTCCTGTAGTTCCTTCTGACTTGTTGCTATCAAGACTGTGTCATCAGCAAAACGTAAATTGTTTATATTGTGCCCACCAACCATAATTCCGGGCATACCAATTAAAGCTCTCATTATATATTCACTGTATATTGAAAACAAATCAGGTGACAGTACACATCCTTGTCGTACGCCCCTCTTTATGCTTTGAAATGTACCTAAACAGTTGTTAATTTTTATAGCTGCTGTTTGATGCCAATACATATTCTTTATTATTCGTAGATCTTTCCCATCAATGTTTAATTTTTCTAACAGTTTGATTACTTCTTCATGCTTCACACAGTCAAATGCTTTTATATAGTCTATAAAGCATATGTACAAATCAGTCTGTACTTCTATAGCTCTTTCCGACAATGTCCTTAGGATGTATATGGCATTGTGTGTACCTTTTCCTTCTACAAATCCACATTGTTCATCGCTGATTTCTGGTTTAATTTTGTTTCTTATTCTTCTCATAATTTTTCTCAGTAAAATCTTAGTCATGTGACTCATAAGACTTATTGTGTGATGGTCTTCACCCCTAACATAGCATAATGAAATGAAGATAGACTCCTTCATCATCACCATCATCACTATCATCGTAACCATCATCAACTTCCACTTCTGCCATTAAGTGTCACAGGGAGGAACAGTATATGATCCACTGCTTAATAGGCGGCACTGACTACTATCGTTCTGTGTGGAGATAGAAGATCCCTAATGCCTTCATCATGTGCATAAATTACTAAACAGAACATTAAACAGAAACATTACATGCTACACAACATGCAAAATAGATCAGGACTCACTGTCTTTATAGTAGTCAATCAACTCAAACATGTCTTTGAAAGTCTTTGTTGGACTAATGTAGAATCCACTATCATCATCTAGAGGCTTGATACGGTAGTGTTTCACTGACAGGTCACTGGTACTATCAATATCCAGGACTGACAAAACATATGATCCTCCATCTGTGAAATGTAGAACAATTAAAAATACATGGTGGAAATTTAAAAAAAAAAAATTTAATTTCATTTTATATTTGTTGCTAGACTTTTCAAACCAATTCCAGCTTTTATTAGCTGTTGTATAGTTTTTCTATGTAATTTTGCAACATTAGTTTGCCACTGTTTTCTTACTTGTACCATGCTCATATTGTTGTCAAGGTCAATGCAAACTTGTCTGCCACCAAACTCCCGCAGGTGACTATAATTGCTGGTAGGATGAGATTGCGAAACTGTACTCACAACCCACTGAAACAGCATCAGAAATTGACTTTAACTTTATATCCCCAAAAGTGATGTATTTCAACATTTCAAGAGCCATGGTGATGTATTTCAACATTTCAAGAGCCATGGAAATGCAGAAGTTGACAGACTGGCAAAGAAACATGGAAGACTACTTCAGCATGAACCATAATCTCTATCTGGGCCAAGTTTATTTTTTAAACCCACAAGGATTGTGGTTTGTAGGAATAACTTCTCACGGATGAGAATCAAATGTACAAATACCTGTTCAACTGTACATGTATAGCCACATAGAATAGTTATTTTAAAAGTAAAAAGTAGAGAAACCTTTTCCACACCTTCAGACATATGGGGCACAGAGGGCTAGACCTACCTTTCATAGAACAATCAGTGTATCATGCTGTCAACATCATGCCAGCCACCTTTGCTTTCCAGGCCTCTACCTAGTACCTTTAATGCTAGGTCGACCTGGAAGTCAAGGTCATTTTTTTTAAAAATCCAGCTCGTCAAGATCTGAACCCACAACCTTCAGATCAGCAGGCGAGCGGTAGTTATATTGGGGCACCACAAAACAGTTACGCCGTAACTTGTAGTCCAGTGTGGGATCGGTCATGTATTTATGGGGGCCAAGATGTTTATTTGAGTATTTATAGAACTAAGTGAAAATCAGAGCTTCCAAACCTTTAGAAAGATTATACATATTACCAACTTCTCAGAATCAAACTTGCTGTGTGGGAATGGGAAAAAGTATAGATCTACTGCCGAATTAACAAGCCTGGGTTAACTGGTAAGTGTGTTAGTCATTATGACCCCAACACTCCCGAATTAACAAACTAATTTTAGCATTTTACTCCTATTGTAAAATCACACTGATTTCCTTTTAATTATTCAAATGTAAGTAAACACATGACAGCAAACAATTATCAATTATAAGTTAAAAACTATACATTATAGCACTCAGGACATTCCTATAAATGCTCCTTCCCCATCTTCAGCAGAATTCCAATTCCAATGGTACCAGTAACAGTTTGCATGTGTGTCCATCTTGCCCCTCCTCTGAGTGTTTTGCATCGAGCATATCCCCTGGTCACTCCCCACTGCGTCATTCTCTTCGGATTGTGATGATCTGTTTATGCCTCCTCCTGTCTATTCGCTCCCCAAGGTCCCTTACAACAACAGATGATACAAATTTAAACTCAAGAGTTTCAGCATCTTTGTCAGGTCTGAGATCATTGAAGTAGCCATAATTTTAATCCTAGAGAATTTTAAGGATTTCTGTCCTGTTTGAGATCATTAAAATAGCCACCATTTTAACTGTAAAGAAGTTTCAGGATCTTTGTCAGGTTTAAGACCCCTGAAGTAGCCCCACTTTTAAACACAGAGAAGTTTTAGGATCTTGGTCAGGTTTGATATCACTGAAGTAGCCACACTTTTAGTTTTTGAGAAGTTTCAGGATCTTTGTCAGTTTTGAGATCACTGAAGTAGCCACACTTTTAATCACAGAGAAGTTTCAGGATCTTTGTCAGTTTTGAGATCACTTAAGTAGTCACACTTTTAATCATTGAGAAGTTTCAGGATCTTTGTCAGGTTTGAGATCATTGAAGTAGCCACACTTTTAATCATAGAGAAGTTTCAGAAACTTTGTCAGGTATGAGATCACTAAAGTAGCCACAATATTAAATCATAGAGAAGTTCTGTGGTCTGTGTCAGGCTGCAGCTTGATAAAGTCATGCTAGTTCTGCTGCCTACAAAACAGACATTCACTCGTCCAGCAAGACAAGACGGAGATTCCAAACAAACACATACACCCACCTCCTGCTTTCCTTATCAGAAAAGTTCCTTTTTTATTTCCAGGCAAAAGTAAAATCTTATCTGCATCATGTCGATCAAATTCAAAGAACCAGCTGGTTAGAAGAAAAAGCAAGAAATTTCTAAAATGATCACAAATGTTCTATGTCTGCTTGTATTTCACTTTTATTAGCCGACCAGCAATGGTATATGTTTTATTACGCTCTTTGTTTTGGTGTTTATTTGTTTTATCATCATCATCTTCAATTTCCACTTTTACTGTTATGCATCATGGGAAGGAACAGTTTGCAATGCACTGACTGATGGGTGGCAATAGATCTTCTGTTTCTCATTAGCACATGATGCTGTTCAGCCTGATCTGATCGTATCGTTTCTGGCTTTGTCTCTGATGGTTAAGCTGGTTTATTTGTTTCATATCTGCAAAACAATGACCTTTTTTCTTGAGTGAATTGGGCACTAGACAAGGGTAGTGAAATCTACAGATGTATGCACCTTGAGTGAACTGGGTACTAGACAAGGGTAGTGGAATCTACAGATGTATGCACCTTGAGTGAACTGGGTACTAGACAAGGGTAGTGGAATCTACAGATGTATGCACCTTGAGTGAACTGGGTACTAGACAAGGGTAGTGGAATCTACAGATGTATGCACCTTGAGTGAACTGGGTACTAGACAAGGGTAGTGGAATCTACAGATGTATGCACCTTGAGTGACCTGGGTACTAGACAAGGGTAGTGGAATCTACAGATGTATGCACCTTGAGTGAACTGGGTACTAGACAAGGGTAGTGGAATCTACAGATGTATGCACCTTGAGTGAACTGGGTACTAGACAAGGGTAGTGGAATCTACAGATGTAGGCACCTTGAGTTAACTGGGTACTAGAAAGAGGTACTAGAACCTAGAGGATTATGCGCCTTGAATGAACTGGGTACTAGACAACTGTACTAGAACCTAGAGGAATATGCACCTTGAGTGAACTGGGTACTAGACAAATGTACTGGAACCTAGAGGATTATGCACCTCGAGTAAACTGTGTACTAGACAAGGGTAGTGGAATCTAGAGGTTTATGCACCTCGAGTAAACTGGGTACTAGACAAGGGTAGTGGAATCTAAGAGGTGTATGCACCTCGAGTAAACTGGGTACTAGACAAGGGTAGTGGAACCTAGAGGTTTATGCACCTTGAGTGAACTGGGTACTAGACAGAGTTACTGGAACCTAGAGGATTATGCACCTTGAGTGAATTTGGGACTGGACAGGGGTAGTGGAACCTAGAGGTTTATGCACCTTTTAAGTTTTTCTTTATACTTATACTATTTTTAAAAAAAAATTATCATACTGATTTGCCATTCACACACCCCACATGTACACCTTAGAGGCCTCAGTAAATCCCTTAGACCCTAGTGTCTGACATGTTGGTTTCTTCTTTTTCTTTAGCTATCCTGCATAGTGCTTTTGTCTGGCCTCACCTCTACTGACTTGCTGCTCTTGTAATCTGATCACGGCTGCAGATTCCCACTAATCACTTTTTTCACATAAACGTGGTTTGAAAGTGGTAAGAAATATGTGACTGTATATTTAGGGAAGATGTAAGAATCTTCTCTAGGTTTTTTTCTAATTAGTTGGATAAATTGCACCTTCGACTAATTAAAGGCTGTTCTTGATGGTGTCATTCTAGTATCTATATGGTCTACCTCTTGCCCCGTCTTCATTATATTTCTTGAACATGTTCACTACATTTTCTTAAATAATGTATGTTAGCATGCATTTCTTTAAAGATCATGAACAAATTTTTTTACATTTCTTCAATGATCATAAATGTATTCTAAGGTAACTGACCAACTTTAGTGAATATAAACAAACAATATCTGAACACAGCAAAGATAAGGACATAGTAGGGGAAAAACTGACAGGCTTATACAAAGGGAGCTTACTCTTGGGTCTGTGGAGTAGCATCGGCTTTAACAACATAATTATATGGAATGTATCCACTACTGCCATTTTTTACATGAGTTGCAAGCCACCATCCATCGTTTCCAGTTAATCTGAAGGATTATAAAAAGTACAAAGAAAAAAATTAACACAGGCAATCAAGTTCTACGAAGAGCAAACAAACCAAATCATCTGATTTGTTAAATAATGAGGACACAAACAATACATTGCACAATATTCTGACCTGTTAAATAATGTGGTCTCAGTCAATACATTGCACAATATTCTGACCTGTTAAATAATGTGGTCACAGTCAAAACACTGCACAAAACTTTTACCTGTTAAATAATGTAGTCACATCAATACATTAAACAATATTCTGACCTTTTGAATAATGCAGACACAGTCAATACATTGCACAACATTCTGACTTGTTAAATAATGTGGTCACATCAATAGATTGCACAACATTCTGACTTGTTAAATAATGTGGTCACATCAATTAGCTGAAATACAGTATTCACATTGTTTTCTTTAGTTACACAGCACATCTCACCACCAGAATAATTTGCCAGGCAAATAAAACTGTGCAATGGATTGTTTGTGTATTTTAATTTACAATGGGAAAACACTGTTTTCTATTATTCTCTTAGTTACTTTTACAGTTCTTTAACCCTTTCAGTTATTAGAAGAGCTAACGATAAAAACCGGAACATTGTTATATAAATTATAATAACCATGCCACTGTCTTGTAACCGGTCAGTATTGTTATTAAGGATGTCAAGAGTTGAGCATGGGACTTCACAGTGCAGTCAAACACAGTGACATCATAATGAGTTTAAAGATGGCTGCCCCACTTTTAATCTGCACCAAAGAGAGGCAGTGTTCTGTGATCCGTTTCTTGATCAGTGAAAGGATGGAACCTATAAAAATTCATTAGCGAACGAAGGTCCAGTATAATGACACATGCTTGTTAGACTATTCATAACCGGACGGGTCAGGCACACTGCCTAGTGACCTCAGAGCCGCTTTAAAACTTCCTATTCCACCCATTTGAGCAACCAGATACAAATTTGTTTAGCCCCAGGGAGTGCATTCCATTTATTATTGTTTACTCTGTTTGTAGCGAAGGACAGAATGTGGCGTGAGTTGGTTAAGGGCCTATGCTCCATTGGGGGTTAGAAAGACAGAAGAAGACTATTTTTATATACATCTTTATATATTTCGAGACAAAAATTTGGTTGATGTCTAATCTCATCTCGATCCTCTTGCACCTTGCAGTGTCGAGGAGAAGTATAATATCATTGCTGTGTGTGCCCTTTATAAGTGGGGATTACCGGGCACTCTATTATTTCCTCTTCTATCATTTACATGGTACTACTTCACTTCCCACCTGGTGCAGACATATTTTAAAATGTATATAACAAATGTTTGGAAAAAAAATTAACTTAGATTATTGGGGGGGGGGGGGGGGTGCATTACCATAGGCTCGGTGCCCATTTTTGTTAGCACTGCCAGGGAACGGGGTTAATTAAATTTAAACCCTGTTCTTCATATACCCAATCCAACTTATTTTCCATTTAATTTTGATGGAAATTATGATTCTATTTTTATCACTGCACATGTTTACGTTGAAGCTGGCACAATCAAATTCTACACTTATGCATAAAACTGTCGTAAGTTTGTTTCTTCTGTTAACACTTTTACCTGTTTATGAAGCCATTAAAAGTGAAACTGTATTTGCTTGAAGGTGATTTCACTTTGATGAAAGGTATGTTAAAGGCAAGAAGAATTACTTCATTGTTTTTCCCCCCATGTGTACCTGCAGACTGGCAAGCAATCGGAACGATGCAGTCTCATACAGGACACCTGGGTGTGAATCCTTTGTAAAGTGATGAAAATGTTTGTCTAGTAGGGGCAGGGAAAAAAAAATCAAAACATGAACAGTTTGTACTTCCAAACCAGCCATAATGACTTGTGTACGTTTGTGCACACATACATATATATCTACATACACACACACATATATATATATATATATACACATACAGATAACCAGTTTGTGCTCCACATGACTCAATAATCACCAATAGAATATTTAAAAAAAACAAAGTTTTATACTTCAAAGACTGCACAAAAAATAGTGGTATACAAAAAAGGAAAACATACACAGATTGATCCACTTCGAGAAGATCACCCTTGTTGAAGGGTAAGTCATCATCACTGACTCCAGGAAATGGGTAGAGAGCTCTCACTGCAAAGAAGTAAATTATTTACTACCAGTTAGTCAATCAGTTACAAATTGTTTCACAGGTGGTACAAAAATGTCTTAACACAAAAGAAAATGTTTCTTTTTACGAATTATATCTATCCTTTCTATTTGTTTGTGTATTATCTAGTGAAATGTTTCCATCACTGACTTAATATGTTTGCTAGTTCAACATCTTTATTTCACATAATTATACAATTACAATAGACAAAAAAAATCGCTCTTATTTAATGTCAGAAAGAGAGCACTAAAATGTTACACAGAACCTGTACTGCTGTATGGCAGCGAATCTTGGAATGTCACTGAACAAATTAAGAAGAATTTGGAAGCAACAGAGATGTGGTTTCTGAGACAAATGTTACGAATACCTTGGACGGCCACAGTAACTAACGATTGCTTGAAAGAGGCTAATAAAAGTAGATCTATATATACAACAATAAGCAAGAGACAAACACTGCTCTTTGACCACATGATGAGAAGAGACATTGGAGAACATCCTGACAACTGGAAAGATCAGTGGAAAAAGGGGTAGAGGCAGACCAAGAGAGATGATGCTGGATGGGCTAAAATGATGGCATGGAGGGATATCATCAAGAGAGCTGTTCCAGTCAACCAGGGATCATGATCTGTGGAGACGCATGAGTGCCTACGCCAGTTGGCAGGGCACATGATGATGATGATGATGATACAATTTAATCAATTGGTCTTCTCAGTTGCCACCTCTACAATGATTATCTTTGAGGATACGGTTAGGATGGTTGTCAGCAAATTCTAGATATGTTTTCACTGTCTATTGTTCTTAACTCACAAACATTTCATGTTGCATGATATCGTTTTTATTTTATCTTTATTCAGAGGTATCAACAAGACTTCAATCCGGCTGTTAAAAATTAGTTGCGTAACTTTTACAGGGCAGAACCAACCCCAGCATTGTTTGGCTGTTGTGGTTTTTCCTAGGCAAGATTTAGGTTCAGTAGTTTGTCCCTGCTTCCTAAACGGTGGGCTGTTAACCAAGACTATATTTGTAATCCTCTCTAATGTTCATCCTTTCAGGTGCCCCCCCCCCCACCCCCCACTAAATCATTATCAGTGTGTGTTCTGTCTCCAGGGGTGAGTGGCCAGCATGGGGGAGGGGGGAGGGGGCTAGATATACTGTATCTTATCAGTAAAAAATGACACAAAAGTGCCAACCGTTTTTTTTTTATTGCTAATACACAAAGGAGGATGGCAAAGCAATGCAAAGATTAAACAGCATTTAAAGTCTATTGTTAAGCACCAGCAAAGAAATCAAAATTAAAATTCTGAGAGCATGCATTTTCCCTGTAAGAAAATATGGATGTGAATCATGGACTATCTCCCTGTCCTTAAGAAAGAAAACAGGGCATGATCTGAAATGCTACAGAATAATTCTCAGAATACTACAGACAAAGAAGAGAAGAAATACTAACATTTTGAAAGATCTGAACATTAAGGAAGATTGGCTAATAAACAGCATCTTGTCTCGGAAGCTGAAATATTTTGATCATATAAAGCGCCATGGGGGACTGAAAACCAAATAATAGTAGAAGGCATAGTACCAGGACGGAGGGGCAGGGACCGACGAACACGAAGATGGGCACAGGATATAAGTGACTCCTTGAATATCAAAGTACACGAGGTGGGAGAGCTGGCAAGAGACCGAGTTTCTTTCAGGCAGACTGTGATGAGAGTGACGTTTTGTAGAGGACCTGCTATATGATGATGTGGAATGCAAAGGAGAATACTTTATTTGGAAATAACTTATCAATAAAAATTTAAACAAAAAACAAAAAGAAAATTATCCATAAGTAAAACTGGTGACACCATTCTGGCAGCAAATTAAAGAATGCTTAGAAGTGTACACCAGCCAGGCCATAAGACCACATCCAGATTAAAGATTTAAGGAATCTCCATGGCAAAGTGGTTAAGTGGGTTCATTTTCAGACTGGGAAGTGGAGGAGCTGGACCACCCGTGGTGGTGCAGCAGGACCACAGCTCATACTGGTCATGACCCATCTGCACTTATCTGCAGTTCTTTTTTCCTTCTTTTGTCTTTTTTTCTGCTTTGTGCCGCTGGGTGTCACATGTTAACAGATGTAATGTAATCACAGCTAGGGTACGCTCGGTAGTCCATTATGCTGTAATGTTGTGGAGCTTCAGGGCATCCATGACTCCTTTTAATCCATGACTCCTTTTAATCCATTTTCTTCTCGATTGTCCCCTATCTCTTGGTGTTTCTACTTTTATTTGTACACTCTTGTTGCTGGCTTCATGTAACCTTTATGTAACTATCTGAGACAACCTTAACTGCTTAATAATTAAACTAATCTTATATATAACTGACTGAAATGATTTTATATATAACTATAACTGATAAAATCTTGTATGTAACTAACTGAAACAGTTTTACGTGTAAAACTAACTTGTCTAAACAGTCTTGTTTATAATTAACTGAGACAATCTTTTATGTAACTAGCTGAAACAATCCTATATGCATGTAACTAAAACAATAGTATATTAATTAATCGAAGCAATCTTATACATAACACTAACGGAAACAATCATATATGTAATTAAGTGGAACAATCTTACATGTAAAACTAACTAGAACAATCTAATACATAATTAAGTGAAACAATCTTATTTTCAACTAACTGAAACAATCCAATATATAACTAACTGAAGCAATCTTACTTGTAGCTAACTGAAACAATCTTACATGTAACTAACTGAAACAATCTTACATGTAACTAACTGAAACCATATATGTAACTAACTGAAACAATCTTACATGTAACTAACTGAAACAATCTTACATGTAACTAACTGAAACCATGTAGGTAACTAACTGAAGCAGTCTTATTTGTAATTAACTAAAACAACCTTAAATGCAACTACTGGTTGGCTGAACGGTTAAGAATGCTGGGTTCTTCTTCGGGAGACAAAGTTTTAAATCCTCATCATCATCATCATCAAAGATTAACAGTCACACAACATTTAATGAGAGAGTTGGTTAGTTGCAAATCCTTTACAGGACTTTGCAGAACCAACCCCTTCATTTTTTGGCTGCTGTGGTTTTTCTAGGCAAATAAATTTCTACAACTGCTTTCTGGGAGGTTGGCTTTTTAATACAGTTGGTAGAAACCAATGCAAGGCACAAGGCCTGTGACCAGGATCGAAGAAGAAGAAGAAGAAGAAGAAGAAAAAGAAGAAGAAGAAGAGAAGAAGAAGATGATGATGATGATGATCACCCCAAAGGCAACATTTTGTTCTTGCAATCATTCATAAAAGTTAAATGCTACCTTAAAAAAATATTTCTGATTAGTAAGTTTACCATTTTCTGTCTCAAATGTATCTTATGCAACTCCTTCACACCTAAACATTTAATACTTTCTTGTCTAGCACCACAGAATATAATAAATTTCAGTAACAACCGCCTGGTACTAAAAGAGTTCAAGAATCCTTACCTTTAACTTTAGTGTTTGGCAGAACTAGAAGTGGTTTGAGGCTCACTGGCGGTGGAGATGGTTTTGTTACATGTCCATTCTCATGTACTGTTTTCTTGGTGTTACTGTTGACATCTTGCGTACCTCTTTTCTGTTTTCTTCTTTCCCTTATAGCTTGGTGCCATTTGCTGATCTCGTTTCCCATCACTGGATAGCTGGAAGATCCAGACACTTATTCAGCACACCGAATAAATATAAAGAAAATTCAAATTCAAAGCATAAAAAGTACTCTAATGTTTACCCCCCAAAAAAAATTATGTGCTGGCTATGGTGCACTCCCTATTATCTTTGGTAACATTAGGTGGTGAGGCCCCAATCTCTTCCATGGTGCAACTCTCGTCCCACTGCCCAAATACCATAAGGAAATGTTTACTTTTGATGTTAGTTTTTTAGATAGCTGATAGGTTTGTATGCATGGCTACTATGGAGGGAAGATGAGTTATAGGCCAGGTAGGATGTTTGTGGGAATGAAGTGATGACAGTGAATCTGCAGCCATTACCAGACTGCAAGAACAAAGCGTGTGGACATATAAGGCCACTATGCAGAAAGCCAACAAAGAATAAGAAACCTAAACAGGACTGGTATCATCAGCCATTACATGCTGCAGGATTTACTGAGGAGGGGATCCGAGCACTTATGGACTGAATGGTTTGATGTGCAATGAGAATAATCTGTTAAATAATTAACTAACTTGTTAGAAAAGATGACACTTCAGAGAAGACAGACTGTCATGGTCAAGAAAAAAGTGGAAATTACAGAGTAGCTGGAGGATCTGGTGGACACTCAATGCTCTGAAGAAAAACAAGACGGACAAATAATCAGAATACAACTGGCACTGCTGGTTACTGGGACTCTGTGCTGGCTGCTAGGGACATGGCGTTTATGAGGATGTCCTAAGTACTATAATATCAGTTCTGAACTCTAAACTCTCACATGTGATAAAGGGTAACAGTAAATTCTTCTTTACGTTCACCAGCTGTAAACTCTAGAGTAAGTTCTAGTTTTCATTCAGTTCTGGACTTTAGTTTTGTACCGGAACTTGAGTTCTGCATGCATGTCCATTTTACAGATCTGGCTTATTTATATGCAGACTATTGGCTCCTTACCTCTCAGTTAAATGCACTCTGGCATTGAAGGAAACCCATAATTAGTTGACTCTTACAACATGTTTGTTAGGGAGGCAGTTGGTCTACTATGTTTTTCACTCCTTCAATGGGTTCCCGGAACCCAGAGAGAACAGAAAACTGAATTCTACAGCATATACTGTTGTAAGTATGTAAAGTATCAGATCTTCATAAATATTAGGTTACGGCAGGGGAGCTGCGTGGTCTTGAGGCATGGTGTACGCCTCGAGTGCTAGAGGTTCCGGGTTCAATCCCCGGTGGAGCTGGGATTTTTTTACGTGGACTTGGACTTCTAGTAATTCCCCTTGATCTCTGGGTAATGAGATTGGATGCTCGTGTGAATTGTTGCGCACGTAAAAAATCCCTTGGCAGTTGGAAATCAAAAAGAGTAGCCTAACGGCGCTGCCCGGGCAAAAATTTTGAGTTTAAAATCTACCCAAAGTATTTCAGGATCCTGGCGGATGCTGCAGAGCCTGTGCACTGTGCTGAGCTTCTTTGAACTCAGACTTGAGTTAGAAGAAAGAACGGAGCACTTATGGATTACTACCCGTGTGTCATGATGTTGATCGGTTGTTCAAAGCATCAAAACCTTGAGGTTATGGCATACTATGTAAGGCTGATCAGTAGTCTCCTTCCTGGTTATACTGAGTAAAGGTCCCACCTCCATGCCCTGAGACATCTAGCATCATTTCTCTTGGTCTGCCTCTTCTCTACTATACTGCTAATCTATCCAATCTGTTCTTCAGTGCCAAGCTTCTCATTAAATGACCAAATAATTTATGCCGCTTTCTTATAGCTGTGTATAAATTTTTATCTAAAACAAATACACAGGACAGATATTATACTAGCCAGACAAGCGTGTGATTTCTATCCAAGATACATCAGTTAGGATTATGTGTCTTCTTGTTCTATTTGTGGTATAGTATATTTATGTAATGTGGTATAGTATATTTATGTAATGTGGTATAGTATATTTATGTAATATGGTATAGTATATTTATGTAATGTGGTATAGTATATTTATGTAATGTGGTATAGTATATTTATGTAATGTGGTATAGTATATTTATGTAATGTGGTATAGTATATTTATGTAATGTGGTGGTAAAGGCTCTTTAGCCGCAATATTTACTTGTCATTTGTTTTTACGATAGTGTAATGCTGACTAGTTTGACTTTTTATTAGGTTTCACATCTTCTGTATAATGTTATCCCTTCATTATCTTTTTTCAAGCCAGTCATTGTTGACAACTCTGGCTGTCCAGGTTATTTACAGTATTTATCTCAGAAACCATTTCTCAGATGCCCCCAAGCTCTCTCTAATGTCTGTTCACATTCCAAGCTACTCCACAATGCAGTGATGTCTATTATTAATCCTGCGTCTTCTTTTCTTCAAGTTCACCGAAGGTAAACTGGTGGAAAGTTCTGGTTGTTTGTCTACTTCTGGATTCTAGTCCTGTTCCAGAAACTGAGTGTTGCATGCCCATTCCACAGGTCTGATTCATCTATATGCAGACTGTAAGTTTCTTGCCTCTCTGGCAGATGTACTTTGACTTGGAAGGATGCTCCCAATTAGTCCACTCTATGACATGGGTGGACCACGACCGGCTCCAGCTGATGGGCTGTGCTGCTGACGTCACCGGGTCGGGCTAACGATGCGTTAACACAGCGGTTCTCAAACAGGAAATAAACTGTTTTTGACAGTGGCAAGAGAGGACAACTTAAATTTTAACTTTTAAGTATCTACATGTTTTCTTTAAAAATTTCAAAATTTGTAGCCAACTTTTCTTGATTATTGCCGCAGCACCCCTGGCATATGCCCACAGCACTTCAGGATGCCTCGGCACCCAGTTCGAGAACTGCTATGTTAACGCATAGTTAGCCCGACCCGGTGATGTCAGCAGCACTGCCCGTCAGCTGGAGCCGGTCATGGGTGGGCAGAGGGTCTATTCTTGTTTTTCCCCGGCAGTGAGGCCCCGGAACCAACGGGGAAATCCTTCAACTTAATCTTATTCTCCTGAAGTTAAAACCATGGGGAAGTGGTCACAAAATGGATTCATGAAGTGAGGACGTCCAAGAGAAACCTAAGATAAACACTTTTAAGAGATTCCAAAGATGCTGGTCTGGAATCCCATTCATGATATCAAGAGGACTGTACCTGACAGAATAGATTGGAGGGTTTGACTATAAACCATCTGTGGGGTATATTGACACAATAGGATGATGATGATGATAATGATAATGATGAAGTGGTCAAGCTGTATGCTTTTTTTTGGCTAGGGTCTGGGTATGTGCTGTATGTATGTATGTATGATGTATGTATGTACGTACGTACGCGCCTGGGTGGTTAGGTAGGTAGGTAGGTAGGTAGGTAGGTAGGTAGGTATGTATGTAAGAATGTATGTATGTAAGAATGTATGTATGTAAGAATGTATATATGTATGTATGTATGTATGTATGTATGTATGTATGTATGTATGTATGTATGTATGTATGTATGTATGTATGTATGTATGTATGTATGTATGTATGTATGTATGTATGTATGTATGTATGTATGTATGTATGTATGTATGTATGTATGTATGTATGTATGTATGTATACATAAAATAGAATAAAATTACCAAACAAAATGAACCTCCAATAATTCTGAAGTGTTCGGCTATAATTCAGCCTGATGCTAACTATATCACCCATCAAAGTGTCCATTATTCTATAAAATATATTATTAGTCTAACACTATATATACAATGCATCTATGGCAATAAAAGAATATTTTATTTACAACTATAATTAACTTCAAGAAAATAACACAACTGTTATAGCTATGAAAATAACACAACTGGTATAGCTATGAAAATAACACAACTGGTATAGCTATGAAAATAACACAACTGGTATAGCTATGAAAATAACACAACTGGTATAGCTATGAAAATAAAACAACTGGTATAACTATGAAAATAACACAACTGGTATTGCTATGAAAATAACACAACTGGTATAGCTATGAAAATAACACAACTGGTATAGCTATGAAAATAAAACAACTGGTATAACTATGAAAATAACACAACTGGTATAGCTATGAAAATAACACAACTGGTATAGCTATGAAAATAACACAACTGGTATAGCTATGAAAATAAAACAACTGGTATAACTATGAAAATAACACAACTGGTATAGCTATGAAAATAAAACAACTGGTATAACTATGAAAATAACACAACTGGTATAGCTATGAAAATAACACAACTGGTATAGCTATGAAAATAAAACAACTGGTATAACTATGAAAATAACACAACTGGTATAGCTATGAAAATAAAACAACTGGTATAACTATGAAAATAACACAACTGGTATCGCTATGCTTGTCTCACCACTACCTAGAAACAGGTCACAGTTACCTCAGATACTAAAGATTGCCCTGGATTAGGAAAAAGAAAGATCAAGGCAGGCTTCAATGCAGTTCTTCTTCTTACACAGGCTCATGTTACAGTTTCTGACGGTATATGCAAAAGCGTGGGTAGGCTTTCTCTACCTTAAAGCAGGAAGCAACAATGATCTTCTTTTTCTTTTGTGATCTCACGGATCCCAGGTTGTAGCCCAATGTCGTGGTTTTCTGTTTTCGTCTTGCACTTCTCGAGTAGGTTTGGGGAATGGATTTGTTCAACTCTTTGCAGGTTTCTGCTACATCATTTATCCATATCTTCTTGGTCTTCCTCTTGTCTTCCTCCCAGTTATTCTGCTGTAAAAAGTCTCATATACAGTTTTGTCTGGTTGCATTCTCACTAGATGGCTGAACCATTTCATTCTTTGTCTGTCGATATAATTCAGAAATGATCTTATTCCGTCTTTCTCCCTAATGCTGGTATTTGTAACCCTGTCTCTTCTTTTGCTGTTATCGACCTTGCGGAGACAGAGCACTTCACATGTAGTCATTTTCTCTTCTAGTGTTCTATTTATTGTAAATATTTGACACTGATAATATAAAGTAGAAATAAAAAAAGTTAT